CACTGACTGACACTTCGGTCTTATTTTCTTTCTTTTGTGTGATTTCTTCCATAATTTTGTTTCTCTAGAACTTGCCTTGATTCTCTTTTAAAGCTAATTAGACCATGCATGATTCAAGTGTGATTAAAGCCATTATTTGATTTTGAGCCTCACTAGCCAAATAACCGGTTTGTCCTATGATTTATTTCCCTTTGTTAACCACTTTGAGCTTTATGGCCATTCTTTTCTTTATTTTGGACCACATTACAAGCCTTTTATATCTAAAATAATGCCTTCACCCAGTTGAATAACTAGTGGAGCAAATTTTGGATTATTTTTGTAATCTACGTGAGGCTGGGAAGGATAAGTGTGGGGGAGATCACTTACTCTTATTAATATGATTGAGAGTGAGGTGAGTTGTATCTTCGTTGCCAATATGTCGCTGGTCTGGTATGAAAAAAGAAAAGAGGAAGCAGTTCACGATTCAAAAAAAAAAAAAAGCATGAAAAATTGAAAAAAAATGAAATGGAAAAATGAAGAATATACGTTTGAAAAAGAATAATATTGCTGAAAATTTATGAGAAAATGAAAAAGAATCAGCAATTGATTTTGAGTTGAAGTTACTTCTAAATAAATGAAGTAAGGGGAAAGTCTGGTAATACTGAGGAAGCATTCTGTACCTCAATGGGATGTGTTTTTTGATTGGAAATTGAGGGTGTTGGATTACTTGTATTTATTTGTTCCTCTAGTTTGAAGCTTTTGTTTAAGCTAATTTCCTAAAAATTCCCTACCTTAACCCTAGCCCCATTACAACCTGTGAAAAGTCCTTATGATTTGTGTCATGCATGACTCTTGTAGTGGTGATTGAGAAGATATGCAAGCCTATGGTAGATCAATTTTATAGGAATGAACTTGAGTGAAATTTATACCCATCAAACACTTGAGTGATGAGTGATATTCCTGTGAGGGCTTACTTATTTAGTTTTCTCCATTTTCAAACAGGGTGCTAACTTATTAATTGCAGGGTGCTTCAGATTGTTGTTCATGATATGTTATGAGTTTTGGGAATTTCATTTCTATTTACTTCGCAAATAATATTTTTGCTTGGGGACAAGCAAACGTTTTAGTGTGGGGGAATTTGATGGGCATATTTTACACTCATATTTTAGTTACATCTTTATAATATTTTTATATTAATTATTTAATATTATCTAATAATTAGTTCTTTTTATATACATAGTATAATCTATTCTTATACTATATATAATATATATATAATATATAATTTATAAGAGTACATACTACGTACTTAATACTATATATATATATAATATATAATGTAATATATATAATATAGAATGCATTATAGTATACATATAATGCGTACTACATTATAATTACTTATATATGTATATATTATAAATCTAAACTTTGCAATTGATTTTTTCTTTTTTTTGTACAGGCATGCATCATAATAACATGGCTGGAATTGTGGAAGACTCAGGCATAAGGCAAAATAATAGGAAAAATGAGTGGTAGAAAATGATTGGGAAAATATATAAATAGTTAAGGTTTTCTATTGTAAAATGTTCATTCTTCCCCTCTCGAATATTCTTTAAGGTTGTTATCAATGCCCATTCGCGGCTAATTTCTTGTTTGGTTTAGTGAATTGAAGCCCCGGAGTTCATTACGCTGTAAGGTTATTTATTTATTTTTATTATATATTTTTTATGCATTTGAGTATTAAATATTCTTCTAAGTTATTTGAAATAATTGTGTCATTTAATTGCTAGGGAGGCCTACTAGTTATTTATTTGATATAATTATTTGCTATATTAGATAATGTTGTGCTACAAATTACTCTAATATTCAGTAGCAACAGGGTTAATTATTGACGGCTTAGTGATAATTGGACTCGGGTAGAATATTTTCCTAAATTAAATGCAACCGCTTGTGCTTGTGTTATTTAGTTTGTCGGTTTTCCTAGTTCCTATTGCTGCTATTAAATTAAATCTATAGCGCTCGTCTTAGGTTATTTAGTAGTTAGGGGTAATTAAACCGCGTGTGCTTTAGTTACCTACAACTAAGGGAAAACGGAAATGAAATAATTTCACGACAAATATTCAACTGCATATTAATTACTTTATAAATCAATGATCAGTGTTAAACTCCGGTGGTGGATCTTTACTGACCAAGGTTTCTTATTATAAGTGTTTTCGATATATTATTTTCACTGTTTATTCGTTCAATTAAATTTCTCGTTTATTTAATTTCTCTTTTATTTAATATTTATTCTCGATATATTCCAAACCCCCCATTATTTCCTTGAGCACAAAAGTTAAACTAGTTACTCCTCGTGGGATCGATCCTTACTCCCGCTACTACGTTTGTAAGATTTTAATTTGGGAGCCTACGACAGCTCACCATGGTGTATCAGCGGGTGCTTGGATGTAACACCCCCGATTTTCACGACATTTTAAAACATTTAAAGCTTAATAAAGAGATAAGTCTACTCATTAAGATTAGATTAACGCGGAAGCAAAAGACAAAATACAGGGAATGTCATGCCACACCTATACATCTATAGGTGCACAGGCTAAAATAAGCAAACGTATTAAGTCATGTCCATATAACCATGACACACAGGCCCAAAACACTATCTACACAGTCCAAAGGAGCTACACTACAACCAACGGCTAGCGCTCTCGCCATAAGCTACTCAAGACCTGAAAAGCAACATAAAGAAAGGGGACGACGCCCGGTCAGCGAATATTGCTGGTAACCCATCAATACGCGTTAAGTAGCATATATAGATAGTATAAAACAAAACCATTTTCGAAATGAAGTACAGTATATATCAGTTCAAACATCATAGAGAGAAATCGACTGCAAAGACTTTATTTCACTCTCAAAGGAACAAGGGAAATCAACATCCCAAGACAACGACAAGATAAGGACAACAACAATAACTAAATACAACTTGAGGCGTATTCTACTGATCACAAAGTAGAATACCACTTGGCATGCTCATTAACAAAGAATAGACATTCAATCATTGGTAACTACATGCCACAGTGACACTTCATGTCACAAGTTCCAACCTTATGCCCTGTTCCAACCTTATGGCTACCCCCGACCTTATTACAGTTCCAACCATTACCTCCAGAACCCCTGTACTTCAGAGTCCAACCTTATGCCTCCGAGGACCGTCGTCCCCACTCCAACAATCTCCAACATATGGGTACATGAGGTACCATTCATTTCATTCACACTATCTCCAACAAGTGAGCCAATTGCTCAGATTACACCACCAATTTCATTCATGGCCACCACGAGGACCACATCTGTACCTTGGTGATTAAGGTCCCATACCCTTAACCGTGCAATCAAGGTATAGCCAATACACACGTTTTCATCACAGGAATCAATCAATGGATCACAACAAAGATATGAAACCATACTCAACAAGGAAGGATTACAATCCGACACCAACATGGTCAACACAAGTTGCCAACTTCAATAAGAAAGAACAAACCACGCACACTAGCATTTCAACATCAAACAAGCATGCTTATCAAACGTGTAAACCAAACATAGTTCCATAGAACATACAAGACTCATCATAGTCCAACGAATCACAAAGTTGGACACTTAGCACGATTCAAGACACCAAAATCCTACATGGATTCCGAACATACCGTTCTAGACATACAAAACATCAAGAAGACACTCAAAAAGCCCAATAAAACAACATCGGGAGGTCAAAACATCGATCACCGAGTCAAAAGAATCACAGGGAACAAATCCCCGACCGACCACCAAGGTGTACCCCGCGGGTGGGGCCACGGGTGGACCTCCACCCGCGGTTCTGCCCGCGGGTAGCACATCCCACAAGCTGTGTACCCCGCTGGTGGGGCGGCGGGTAGGCCACTGCCCGCCGTTCCGCCCGCGGGTACGCCCTGTACCACAAAAATAATCCCTTCGCGGATTTTCAACAACAAGTCCAAATTCAAGTCCAAAACACCCAAAAATCTCACAAAATACAACAATATGACTTAAACCCAAGAAATAGCCAAGCAATGGCATACAAGAACCCTAATAACAAGCTCTAGATATGCATTACCACAAGACAATGCATCAAAACTCACATTTCATAACAAAAATCACAAGTAGAAGTCAAGAAATCATGATATAGGTAAGAAAATAGATTTTGTAAAGAATGGGTTACCTCTTGTAGCCTAACACTTCACTTTTCACATTCTTAAAGGCTTCTCTTAAAGCTCGCCTTCAACTTCAACTTCATAAACACACCAAAAGACACAAAGATTCCATCTTTAGAAAAAAGACACCTCAAAAGATACTAAAAACACCAAGAGATCAAGGATCTTACCCTCCCCTATGCTCAAGGTTAAGAAAGTTTGAATCTTGGAGACCAACTTGAAAGATTTAAGATACCCAAAATTTGGTTTGAAGAAGAAGCTATCAATTTCTAGAGAGAAGGTGGAGCTTTTGTGTTTAGGATGTTAGTGAATGAAATGAGAGGATGAATGCTAGGTCAGCTTGGGGTACAAACAAAAGGTAAAAAGACTTCTTTTCCCTTACTTAAGTTGGAAGAATAAGGAGGCAAGGGAACAACTCATAAGGCATAGTGTACAACTCTTTGACTTGGATTGACTAGTCAATTTCTAGTCCTCCGACTATTGAATTTTCAGGATTTTGAGAATAAATTACCAAATAAACTAGGATTAATTATCTAATTAATCCTTAAATAGATTTTGGATTTACGGGGTGTCACATTGGTACTGAGTAGCGTGTTGGTGGTTCGGCGGGGTGTTCACCAAGGTGTGCGCATGTGCGTATGTTAGCGTGTGCATACAAGTTGTGGTAGTGCAACAAGATTTAATACTGCTGAGAGAAGATATGTATTGGGGTGCGTGCGTTGGTATGCAAAAGTATGTGTAAGTAATTGTGGATGTGGTGTTTCATTACATGCATATTGGGTAATTATTGTTTGTTGGTAGACACAGGTACAGTCTTGTGTTTGTCCCATTCACAGGCGTAGACAACCACAAGAAATGCGTGACATTTGCTGCGGGACTGATTGATAAAGAAGACATGGAGTCGTACAGTTGGATCCTAAAGAACTTCAAGAATGCAATGGGAAGTACACCACCTTTGATAATAACTTGTCAAGATCCAGCTATGAAGATCGTGATTGCAACAGAGTTCGCGGGGACTCGCCACCGTTACTGTATGTGGCATATAATGACTAAGGTCGGTGAGAAAGTGGGGATTATGTGAGCAAACAGTGAGGAGTTTCGGCATGCATTGAATGCTGTTGTGTGGAACGAGGAATCGACGCCATCAGATTTTGAGAGTGCATGGAATGGAGTTATTGAGAAGTACGGCCAATGCGAAAATCGGTGGTTGAAACGTATGTACGACGAGCGTGCGTCATGGGTGCCCACGTTTTTTGAAGATGTGTTTATGGGGGGCCTATTGCGTACGACTTCACGATCGAAAGCTGAGAACAGAATTTTTCAAAGTAATACTAATAAGCACTTATGCGTTGTGGAATTCTTCAAACGATTTGAAAGTGCTGTTGGAAAACAACAAAACAAACATCTGGAACTTAGCGCGACTTGCAATGGACAGACACCACCTTTAAAGACTCTCATGCGCATAGAGCGAGAAGAAGCATCGGTGTACACATTGACTGTTTTTTACGATGTACAAAAAGAAATATGTGAGGGTTGTTTTGCATGTCGTGTGAGAACTTACAAAGAAGGTGAGGGGGTGAAGACATATATGGTTGAGGATGGGACCAAAGAGCGATACACAATCATAGTTGAAGATGGGAGCAACAACACAAGCTGCACATGCCGATTGTACACAAGGATCGGGCTGCTATGTAGACATGTTTTTGTAGTTCTAAAAGATGAACGGATCGATCACATATTTCCATAGCATATTACTCCAAGATGGACCCGAGAAGCAGTAAAACATCTACAAAACGATACGGGCGGAGAGAGACAAAAAGGTGTGAATACGACCACACATAGCAGCAATGCGGAGGGGAAACTAATAAACTCATTTTACAGATGTTTGGGTCTCGGTAGAGGTAGGGATGAAAAACTGCAATAGATGACTCATGTGATTGAAGAATATGAAGCAACATTGTGCGAGGAAGATGAAGACAGGGCAGCAGAGAACGCGAAACGTGCAGTTATGGAAGCATCTTATGGAGTTCCAGTCCCAGAGATAATCGAAGTGCACCCACCTACACTGGCTAAGACCAAAGGGTTTGGCAAGCGAATGAAATCAGCCAAGGAGGTAGCAATTATAGAGCAAGTTAAACAGAAGCGTACTTGCAAAACTTGTGGATTAGCGGCTGGGCATAATAGCCGAAGCTGTCCACAGAAGTAGTGATGGTAATTTTGCTTAATATTGCGCATAACGGTGAGAGCGTGACTTCATGTTGATGTATTTTGATGTGGGTACGACTATAATATGGGTACTCTTACAATATTTTGACTTAATGTTGTTTTCTAATTATTTAATAACAATGTAGTGTGCATTGGTGCACGTTGGTGTGTGCATTTAGGCATTTTGGTCTATGCATATATGGGATACGGCGTGTGCTAATGTTATGTAGAGGGTGTTTTGTACTAGTTATATTATTTTTTTTTTTTTGATATTGTTAACCTCAACTTTTATTAGGTGTGTGCATGGTATTTGTTTGTTTTCAATGACACATATTGTAAGAGTAATAGATGTTGGTTATTATTATTATTATTATTATTATTATTATTATTATTATTATTATTATTATTATTTTGCGTACCATCAAAGTAACGTACGGTGGTGTGTGCGTTCATTCGCTAGGACGTGTGCGTCGTGTACGGATAATGCTATGTCATGTTGTATACACTAACATAGTAGTGTGCATTGGTGCACGTTGGTGTGTGCATTTGGGCATTTTGGTGTGTGCGTATATGGGATACGTGTGCGTAAGTTATATAGAGGGCGTTTTGTACTATTTATATTAATCTTTTTTTTTATATTGTTAACCTCAATTTTTATTAGGTGTGTGCATTGTATTAATAATAGTAATAATAATAATAATAATAATAACAATAATAATAATAATAATAATAATAATATTATTATTATTATTATTATTATTATTATTGCGCACCATACAAGTGTTGTACGGTGGTGTGTGCGTGTATTCACTAGGATGTGTGCGTAGCATACGGATAATGCTACGTCATGTTGTATACACTAACATAGTAGAGTGCATTTAAGGATGTAGGTGTGTGCGTGGGCGTGTCATGGCCTGTGCGTAATTATTTTTGAGTGGGAAACTATGTGAGTTATTAATATGTAATGAAACAATTTATTCATTCATTACAAAAATATGCACAATGTGGAAAAATATCCAAAGCAAATCAGCATCCAAAGCGGGAAAAAAAAAAACCAAAGCGGGAAAATATCCAACTACGGAATATGAGAAAACGTGTCTTAAACTTCAACAAAAACGCCCAACACTGTTGACATTCGATCCTCGGTGTGTGTTGCTATGGAACATCAGAATTTCCGAAACATAGAGCACACGCAATGCCATCAAGGCCTGTGCATCCCCACTATTTAGTCCACAAGCCCACGAAACGACCGACTAGCCTACGTACGTCTCCATGTGACGCATAACACCCCACAATCCAATTTATTTTTGGTGTCATGCCATGACACTCGGAGTCTCCAAGGGATTAACTATAATACCTTAACATAAAGTTCTGGAGCCCCAGCATCCTCAAAAAAAGACAGAGAGCAAATCTTTCTGCAAGAATTGTAGATACAAAACACAAAGTCAATTTAATGTTGAAAGGTAAATATTAAAACAATAAAGTTAAAAAATAAGAGAGAAATAGTAGAGGTAGAACGTATATATACCAACACCATGGGGGTAACGCCATATTTATTCAGAGATGCTCCGCCAACGGAGGAGTTATCTATAATATCAAATTTCACATGGCGGACATCAACAACGATTACATAATAATGACCCTGATCGAGTATTGGGAATAGAAACTGGAAAAACGTTGGGAATAAAAATATGAATAAGTAAAAAAGAACCTAAAATGAGAACAATACAGAGACAGTGGTGAATCCCAAGGGGGAGTAATGTGCAATGATATGTATGCCGAAAAATAACTGACCATGTCAATTTCAACCCACGACTTATACGGTGATAACTGCAGATCCGCCTCTAACCCAGCAGAAAACCAATCCAACCATTGAGACCATGGCGCTGAAATTTGAACAGTCGAATACAACTACATAATATAAGTGAAACACATGAAGTTTGACACACATCCTAGAATTGTAGAAAGTGACACAGCGTAGGGGGAGAGAGGGGGGTGAAGAACTGTGGTTGCGGGGGATGCAAATAACCGATTTGGTGCATCAACCGGCTTAGTCCTTTCCCGAACATTCAAAATACATGCCCACACATTCAATATACCCACCAGGACTTTATTACCTTCTAATAGTGACACAAAGTCCTCCCTACGAGCCGAACGACCATAATAATTGAATAATTATGCAGTCTTGTAATCAAAGAAACATTAGATGTGAATAGGAATATGTTTAACTCCATGTAACGAATCCCTTAGAATGCATATTTGTACATGTCAACATTTAAGATCCTAGCAATCTAATCATAAACTTCTTGGGAATCAGCCTAAAGCACAACTTGTGTATTAACTGCGCATGCGCGCGTAAGGGGTGCATACGAATTCAAGTCGATGGCGCGCACGACACCAACATTAACTCCCCCAAGACATGAATATTTCATAGGCGCAGGACACTATGGTGGATCTGTTACCGTGCCCAAAGGTAGAGCGAATGGAACAATTTGCTGCAAAATGAAAAAAAGAATCAATACAGAATAATTGGAAATGGCAAGGGGAAAGCGAAAAAGTGATTAGACCACGCATGAATACCTCATCCGGAGTTGAAAAGACCTCATGCCCAGCGTTAGAACCAAACCCACGTGGTCGTTTGAGCACACCACGTCTTTGATTGTCATTCCCCGCCGAGGAAGCCTTAGGGGCACAAGAGATACGGTGTTTGGTTGCACGCACCAAGAAAAAATGGGCAGTTGGAGAAAGTTGACTGTAAATCACGAAGCAGTGAAGAACCCTATCGAGCTGTAATGATAATAATATAATAAGGCAAACAGGGGATAATCTGAAAAGTTGCAGCTACGGTAAACAATCATACTTACTGCATCACAAGGGGCAGAGCTATAATCACGGGATGGAACATTTGATGTGACTATTTGAATGCAGTAATAAGTCATATACTAGATAATGTGTGCGTAAAAAAAGTAGGTATGTGCATACGTCCAAAAGAACAACTCATAGTGAATCATTAAAAGTTGCAGCAATAGTTATACAACATATGAGCAGACCAGAGAATAGGACCACATCAAACACCTTAACAAACTAAAAATGAAACCACTACACTTTGTAGTCACCAAAAAATATCTAGCATACGCGTAGTTAGTATGAGCCAAAAAAAAGTACGTACATACACCAACACAACACCCTACAAACCCCTAACTTTCTTGCGCTTGTAGACCATCATACTTACTTCAGCTGGGGAGTCCAACAGAGGACCCCCCCGGTGAGACCGCCAAAGACCAATCTTCATACTGCCGTGCGACCGTTTCCACCTCATCGCACCCTTGGGTAGGCTGCTGCTCGTTCGGACGCCGATTGATTTTGGGAGATTCTTGGACTGCGTTTTGCTGTTGGGCCGCCAAGACCACTACATCAACAACCTGTAAATTCTCCGGATTGTTCCACATTTCATCATCACTCTGGGTTACCGTATGACCCATATTGACATGGACTACCGGCTCTAAACATGCGGGGGGTCTCATACATTGTAATGAATCTCCGTGCACCATATATAACCAGCTTGAAAGTATCTGTACGGGTCGAGTAACTAGGGTGTTGTTGAAGAAACTGCACGATATCATCCAGATCCGCACCTAACACACCTGCCTTCTCATCAAACATTTCATAAGTCGTTTGCATTGTTCCAATCCAAACACTTTTTAGCATAGACCGAAACTATCAAACACACATATAGAAATGAATGAAAATAGAAATGAAAATATAGGATGCACATGGTGTTACACGGAGATGCACACATTTTATAGGGTAGAAGGGTTGGGCAAATCAGCAAACCCCAAACAAATGCAATAAGCAGTCATATAATAGATAGTGTGTGCGTAGAAAGAAGCAGGTATGTGCATGCAGACAAAAGGAACAGCTCGTCGTGAACCACCATCAAAGTGGAGCAGAAGATAACACACACCAAAGTACACATACGCACACACCTTAGTTTAGGGTGAACATACAAGTTCTTTTATAAAATAAGTGAACAACAAAAATAGAGATGTTATTCAGGAAAAATAATAAAATGAATAAAATAACCACGACATCTTAAAGACAGCGTGTTAGAAACTCGCACATGCCATACCCCACAAACGTACACATTACCGTAAATAACAATATTCGTAGGAAAGTTGATGAACAGACCAAATCTAGCAATCACACATAACACACCAAAAATAAAAATATGCATATATATATATATATATATATATATATATATATATATATATATATATATATATATAATTTGTGAACGCTATTGCACACCGGTGCACGCACAGCCACATAGAAACAAATCTGGAAAAAATCCAAAAAAGATGGTAAAATGAGTACAGAAATTTGCACAAAGCAGAGTACACGTACGCACACAGGTGAGCTAAAAGTGAGTAGACTAGTGGGTTTAGAAAGTAACTATAAAAATAAAATAACAAAAATGAATTCTAACATACCACCCAAGTGTAAAATTTGTTATCTAAAAAAAAAAGTAATAATAATAAA